TCACTCTCTCACAATCTCTCTCTCTCTCTCTCTCTCTCTCTCTCTCTCTCTCTCTCTCTCTCTCTCTCTCTCTCTCTCTCTCTCTCTCTCTCTCTCTCTCTCTCTCTCTCTCTCTCTCTCTCTCTCTCTCTCTCTCTCTCTCTCTCTCTCTCTCTCAGCCTCCAATTTCACCATCGTCGTTTAGAGAATTTCTCCTTCAAAGCTTCAAAACCAATTCCAACGACCTCTCTCTTTTTAGATTCGACGGTGCGTTCCCGTCAATCTCGCCGGAAGGTTTTGCTTTCTGGGTTTTTCTCTCTAATCGCCGGAAGGATCAAAATTGATTTCTAAGGTTTTGCTTTCTGGGTTTTTCTCTCTAATCTCTATTGTGGGTTTTTTGAGATTTGGCTTATGGCTGATTCTTTGTTAAATTTCAGAAGAATGAGATTCAGAGTTTAACCTCGGAACACATCAACAACTCCAAGCTAGTTCCTCCTCATATCTTAACAAGCCCTTCTTCTTTCCAAGGTTTTAATTTCTTACATTTTGAACTTGGTTCTTCATGTTCTGCATCAAATCGTTGCTCTTTGAGCTTGGTTTTGGGTTTTCTGGGTTTGTGAGCAAAATTGGCTTAGTTCATCTTTAGTTTAGAATAGTATAGAGATTAGTATAGATATGAAGGAAGAAGATATCTGTGTATAGATATGAGATGGATTAGTATCATGAACGTTAGTATAGATATGAGATGGATTAGTATCATGAACGTTAGTATAGATATTCTTTAATCATGTGATATGTTTGGTTTCTTTCTGCAAATATTCAAGCAGATATCTGTGTCTTCTTTTCTAAGTTTTTTTTTTTGGTAACAATTCTTTTGCAAGTTCCTGTATCTTCTTTTACTCTAATTAGCAAAGTTACTCTTGAATGTGGATTTATGGCTCTTAATTATTAACATCTCATTTGACTTAAATCTGCAGACTTAAACCTAAGACTTAACCGATGGATGATGAAGAAGAACAGTCTCCTAGTAGTGGTGGTGGTGGGCAATCATCATCATGTGCATCCGAATCTAGAATGCTAGTAAGTTCTTCTAATCATGCAAAAAGAAGTAGGAGATCAATGATGATGATGA